GACACAAGGGATGGATGGTGCAGGGGAGGTACGACACAAGGGATGCATGGTGTAGGGGAGGCACGACACAAGGGATGCATGGTGCAAGGGAGGCACTAGACAAGGGATGCATGGTGCAGGGGAGGCACTAGACAAGGGATGCATGGTGCAGGGGAGGCACGACACAAGGGATGCATGGTGCAGGGGAGGCACTATACAAGGGAAGCACAGTGCAGGTTAGGCACTATACAAGGGATGCATGGTGCAGGGGAGGCACTTTTCAAGGGAGGCACGGTGCAGGGGAGGCACTATACAAGGGAGGCAAAGTGCAGGGGAGGAACTATACAAGGGATGTACAGTGCAGGGGAGGCACTATACAAGGGATGCATGGTGCAGGGGAGGCACTATACAAGGGATGCATGGTGCAAGGGAGGCACTATACGTACAAGGGATGCATGGTGCAGGGGAGGCACTTTGCAAGGGAGGCACGGTGCAGGGGAGGCACTATACAAGGGATGCACGGTGCAGGGGAGGCACTATACAAGGGAGGCACGGTGAAGGGGAGGCAATATACAAGGGAGGCATGGTGCAGGGGAGGCACTACACAAGGGATGCATGGTGCAAGGGAGGCACTATACAAGAGAGGCACGGTGCAGGGGAGGCACTATACAAGGGAGGCATGATGCAGGGGAGGCACTATACAAGGGATGCATGGTGCAGGGGAGGCACTATACAAGGGATGCATGGTGCAAGGGAGGCACTATACAAGGGATGCATGGTGCAGGGGACGCATTATACAAGGGAGGCACAGTGCAGGGGAGGCACTATACAAGGGATGCACGGTGCAGGGGAGGCACAATACAAGGGATGCACAGTGCAGGGGAGGCACTATACAAGGGATGCACAATGCAGGGGAGGCACTATACAAGGGAGGCATGATGCAGGGGAGGCACTATACAAAGGATGCATGGTACAGGGGAGGCACTACACAAGGGATGCATGGTGCAGGGGAGGCACTACTCAAGGGATGCATGGTGCAGGGGAGGCACTACTCAAGGGATGCATGGTGCAGGGGAGGCACTAAACAAGGGATGCATGGTGCAGGGGAGGCACTACACAAGGGATGCATGGTGCAGGGGAGGCACTACACAAGGGATGCATGGTCCAGGGGAGGCACTACACAAGGGATGCATGGTGCAAGGGAGGCACTACACAAGGGATGCATGGTGCAGGGGAGGCACTACACAAGGGATGCATGGTGTAGGGGAGGCACTACACAAGGGATGCATGGTGCAGGGGAGGCACGACACAAGGGATGGATGGTGCAGGGGAGGCACGACACAAGGGATGCATGGTGCAGGGGAGGCATGACACAAGGGATGCATGGTGCAAGGGAGGCACTACACAAGGGATGCATGGTGCAGGGGAGGCACTACACAAGGGATGCATGGTGCAGGGGAGACACGACACAAGGGATGCATGGTGCAGGGGAGGCACGACACAAGGGATGGATGGTGCTGGGGAGGCACGACACAAGGGATGCATGGTGCAGGGGAGGCACGACACAAGGGATGGATGGTGCAGGGAGGCACCGCACAAGGGATGGATGGTGCAGGGGAGGCATGACACAAGGGATGCATGGTGCAGGGGAGGCACGACACAAGGGATGCATGGTGCAGGGGAGGCACGACACAAGGGATGCATGGTGCAGGGGAGGCACTACACAAGCATGGTGCAGGGGAGGCACTACACAAGGGATGCATGGTGCAGGGGAGGCACTACACAAGGGATGTATGGTGCAGGGGAGGCACTACTCAAGGGATGCATGGTGCAGGGGAGGCACTATACAAGGATGCATGGTGCAGGGGAGGCACTATACAAGTGATGCATGGTGCAAGGGAGGCACTATACAAGGGATGCATGGTGCAGGGGAGGCACGACACAAGGGATGCATGGTGCAGGGGAGGCACGACACAAGGGATGCATGGTGTAGGGGAGGCACTACACAAGGGATGCATGGTGCAGGGGAGGCACTATACAAGGGATGCATGGTGCAAGGGAGGCACTATACAAGGGATGCATGGTGCAGGGGCACACTGCAGGGGAGGCATTTTACAAGGGATGCACGGTGCAGGGGAGGCACTATACAAGGGGTGCACAGTGTAGTGGAGGCGCTATACAAGGGAGGCATGATGCAGGGGAGGCACTATACAAAGGATGCATGGTGCAGGGGAGGCACTACACAAGGGATGCATGGTGCAGGGGAGGCACGACACAAGGGATGCATGGTGCAGGGGAGGCACGACACAAGGGATGCATGGTGCAGGGGAGGCATGACACAAGGGATGCATGGTGCAGGGGAGGCACTACACAAGGGATGCATGGTGCAGGGGAGGCACTACACAAGGGATGCATGGTGTAGGGGAGTCACTACACAAGGGATGCATGGTGCAGGGGAGGCACTACACAAGGATGCATGGTGCAGGGGAGGCACTACACAAGGGATGCATGGTGCAGGGGAGGCACTACTCAAGGGATGCATTGTGTAGGGGAGGCACTAAACAAGGGATGCATGGTGCAGGGGAGGCACTACACAAGGGATGCATGGTGCAGGGGAGGCACTACACAAGGATGCATGGTGCAGGGGAGGCACTACACAAGGGATGCATGGTGCAAGGGAGGCACTACACAAGGGATGCATGGTGCAGGGGAGGCACTACACAAGGGATGCATGGTGCAGGGGAGGCACTACACAAGGGATGCATGGTGTAGGGGAGGCACTAGACAAGGGATGCATGGTGCAGGGGAGGCACGACACAAGGGATGCATGGTGCAGGGGAGGCACGACACAAGGGATGCATGGTGCAGGGGAGGCACGACACAAGGGATGCATGGTGCAGGGGAGGCACGACACAAGGGATGGATGGTGCAGGGGAGGTACGACACAAGGGATGCATGGTGTAGGGGAGGCACGACACAAGGGATGCATGGTGCAAGGGAGGCACTACACAAGGGATGCATGGTGCAGGGGAGGCACTACACAAGGGATGCATGGTGCAGGGGAGGCACTACACAAGGGATGCATGGTGTAGGGGAGGCACGACACAAGGGATGCATGGTGCAGGGGAGGCACGACACAAGGGATGCATGGTGCAGGGGAGGCACGACACAAGGGATGCATGGTGCAGGGGAGGCACTACACAAGGGATGCATGGTGCAGGGGAGGCACGACACAAGGGATGCATGGTGCAGGGGAGGCACGACACAAGGGATGCATGGTGCAGGGAGACACTACACAAGGATGCATGGTGCAGGGGAGGCACTACACAAGGGATGCATGGTGCAGGGGAGGCACTACACAAGGGATGCATGGTGCAGGGGAGGCACTAGTCAAGGGATGCATGGTGCAGGGGAGGCACTATACAAGGGATGCATGGTGCAGGGGAGGCACTATACAAGGGATGCATGGTGCAAGGGAGGCACTATACAAGGGATGCATGGTGCAGGGGAGGCACGATACAAGGGATGCATGGTGCAGGGGAGGCACGACACAAGGGATGCATGGTGCAGGGGAGGCACTACACAAGGGATGCATGGTGCAAGGGAGGCACTATACAAGGGATGCATGGTGCAGGGGCACACTTCAGGGGAGGCACTATACAAGGGATGCACGGTGCAGGGGAGGCACTATACAAGGGATGCACAGTGCAGTGGAGGCGCTATACAAGGGAGGCACTATACAAGGGATGCATGGTGCAGGGGAGGCACTACACAAAGGATGCATGGTGCAGGGGAGGCACTACACAAGGGATGCATGGTGCAGGGGAGGCACTACACAAGGGATGCATGGTGCAGGGGAGGCACTACTCAAGGGATGCATGGTGCAGGGGAGGCACTATACAAGGGATGCATGGTGCAGGGGAGGCACTATACAAGGGATGCATGGTGCAAGGGAGGCACTATACAAGGGATGCATGGTGCAGGGGAGGCACGACACAAGGGATGCATGGTGCAGGAGAGGCACTATACAAGGGATGCATGGTGCAGGGAGGCACTATACAAGGGATGCATGGTGCAGGGGAGGCACGACACAAGGGATGCATGGTGCAAGGGAGGCACTACAGCAGCTCTGCCTAAACCCTAAAGTTTTTGAAATCCTAACAAACGTGCAAGGACCTGACAACAAACCCTCCAACATGAAATTTCGGATACTAGCCTTCGGACACTGGCCTTCGATCGAATATTTCCAAAACCATTCCACAAGCTTGAACCCATAACGGTAACTCATTATAGGTTTGCATTTTGTACCTCATGTGGCAAAAAACAAGTAAACCAAAATTTCACCATGTCTACACGAAATGTAAGCTGCATCTGGTCTGAAAAAGGATGCGTAAATACCGTCTTTCATAGGAGGCCGCATTGTTCAACCCTATACTAGTAGCTAATGATATCAAATATACAAGACAAGAATACACTGACAGACTCGAGATTAAATTGAGCGGCTGTGTTTCAAAGGAGGAAGCCACACCAAAGAAGTTTTTTTGCAGAACTGCGCCCTGCAGATGCACACACCTACGGCAGCTTGGCAGGTACAACAGGAAGATCAGAACAGAGCACTTAGTCTAGTGAACAAACCATACAAAATAAAGGGAAGACAGGATAGCCAGAACGGGGGGTGAGATGAGATGGGAGAGTGGAGGAAGGAAAGTTTTGAGTGGGGGAGAGTTTGAGTGGATAATCAATCTTTTGGAGATGGTCAACAAAGTTGACCTCGATAGGCTCTTTGTTTGCCTGGTCCGACAGCCAGCTGTTTCTAGTACAGTAGCATAAGGTGAGAGGAGTATGTCCATTGACAAAACATGCCATGACAGCCGGCGACGATATTGCACCGCAGAACGAGAGATGACCGACACTAACGGACACTGGCAAAGAAAATATCGCATCGATTTAGTACAGCAGACCTAGAATTGTGTGCTACTCATTTCTCTGGTTTCTGGCAAAATGGGCCTTGTATCAGAAAGAGAGAATGACTAGAATAGGAAGATACAGGGCAATATAGACTAGTGTGTTGTACCCTCTAAGGCACAAACCTGTATAGACTAGAGTAACAACATAAGTTATGTTTGACACACCCCCTAGACTATATAGGGGTAGTGCCTAACAAGGGAAGAAGAAGCTCAGGGCGGTACTACTAGTCCAGCCTCTGAGACAAGGGTCTAAAGACCAGACAAAAGGAGTACAGACAAGACAAGAGCAAAACCAGGGCGGCACTACTAGTCCAGCCACTAGGAGAGGCCACAAGGCCAGTCAGGGTAAAATATATATAAAGGGCAGTACAAAGTCAAGGCCCTAGCAAGTGAGAGACTACAGGAACGAGGCCTAGCTATAAACAGTGTCGCTGATGATCTTTAGGCGCAAGCGCCTTCGTAATGATATCAGCTGTGTTGGCACCGGAGGCCAAGTGTACTACGCGAGCCTGGTGACGCTGCTGTAGCTCACGTAGGAGGAAGTACCGCAGCTAGATGTGCTTCGCTCTCCCCTTGAGTCGAGGCTCCTGACACAGGAGGAGCATGGCCCTGTTGTCAGCGTACAGGGCCGGGGCAGAGTTAGGCTGCTCACCTAAGTCAGTGAGCAAGAAGGTCAGCCAGCGGAGCTCCTTTGCCGCCATGGCACCAGCGTAGATCTCGGCCTCACAGCTGGACTGGGCAACAGACGAGGAGCGGGTAGCTCTCCACGAGACGGCACCTGAACCAAGGCTAAAGCAGTAACCCTGCTAGGACCTGAGGGTCTCGGCGTCGTCTGCCCAAAAAGCGTCCGTGTGTCCAGTAAGGACCACGGGCCTGCGTCCTCCTAGCACTAACCCCATGCCGGATGTACTTGCAAGATAACGCAAAACCCTCTTAGCGGCATACCAGTGCTGAGGTCGGTGTCTGCCCTTGGCCACAAAGCGAGCCAGGATGCTGAGAGGGTATGCGAGATCTGGGCGGGTGCAAGTCATCGGGTACATGAGGCAACCCACCAGCTCTACGTAAGGAACACTGGGCTCTACTGACTCCTCAGGAACTGTAGTAGAGAGCCTATGGTCTAGAGGCAGAGGAGTGGGCTGTGCGGAGGAGAACTGAAGGCCGAACCTCTGAAGGACCTGGCGCACCAAGTGTGACTGAGTCAAGGTGATGGTGCGCGCTGCTCTGTCCCTGGAGATCTGCAAGCCCAGGTAGTGGTGCAGTTCTCCAAGGTCTGTGCAGGTGTGTCTCTTTAGCAGCTCTGCCTTCACCGAGGCCAGTGCGTCCCTGTCTGCAGTGGCGAAGACCATGTCGTCTACGTAAACAAGGATGTAGAACGGAGTCTGGCCAGCACGAACGAAGAGCGAGGGGTCTACAGAGGACGGAAAGAACTGCAAGTCAGCAAGGGTAGCACGCAGCGTGTCGTGCCACTCACGGGAAGCCTGCCGCAGGCCGTAGACGGGGCACCGAAGGAGCCACTGGGTCCCAGGAGGGAAGGTACCAGTGAAGCCCTGAGGGCGGCGCAGGTAGACCTGCTCATGTAGACTGCCCTGAAGAAAGGCAGTGGAGAAGTCAAGGGAGTGAAGCTCGTAGTCACGCTGAGCTGCTACGTGTAGCAGCACCCGAAGAGTAGTCATCTTCGGGGTCGGAGCGAAGGTCTGAAAGAAGTCCACCCCTTACGCTGACTGAAACCTCTGGCCACGTAGCGCGCCTTGAACACATGCGGCTCTTTAGGGGGGCGCTTCACCTTGAAGAGCCAGCGGCCATCGACTACGTTCACCCCAGGTGGGGGAACTGCGTCGACGTAGGTGCCGGTGGATCTCCAAGATGCCATCTCCTGCTCCATGGCAGCTATCCACTGGGAGGCCCAAGGTCCCGAGACCACCTCAGCGTAAGTGCGAGGGGTCGGGATGTCGAAAGCGTCTGGGTCACCCTCAGGGACTAGCAACATGGAACAGAGATGGGGAGCAGCCTAGGACAGGAAAGCAAGCTCGTACTGGCGGTCCTCTTGGACGTCACTGCCAAGGGCAGGAGCACCCCCGACAGACGGAGGACAGGCAGGGTCACAGACCAGAGCGGTGGCGTAGTCAAGGCGGGGGGTAGAGGCGAAGTCAGTGACCGCAGCGACAAGAGCGTCAAGGCGCGAAACCGGAACAGACGGGTCGGTAACGAGAGAGGCAAGGACCCGAGGAACAAGAGGATGAGCGGCACGAAGGTAGTCACATAGAGGGGGAGGCGCAACGACAAGGGAGGATGGAGGAGGCAATGGGAGGGGGGGAGGACGAGCCACGTGGGAACGAAGCAACGGTTGCTGCAGCAGGGACGGTGGCTGCGGCGGCAACGACGGTGGCGGCAGCGGCGACGACTGCTGCGATGACGGCGGAGGAGGAGACACCGGAGAGGAGGCAGGCGACAAGGACTGGGCCGCAGGACCACCAGAGTCAGCAGACTCCTCAACCGGCACAACCGACGGGAGGGGAGTGACGTGAGACACACCGGACAGGGCAGGACGCGGGGGGGGCGGGGCTGGGACTACCAGGGACGAGGGAACCAGGAACAGGGGGGGGGTAACCGGGGGATCATTGTGTGGAAAGCGGCGGTAGAAGGAAACGGACTCGTCAAAGGTAACGTCGCGGGAATGAAAGAAACGGTGGGACGGCGGGTGGTAGAAGTGCCAGTCGGACGAGTCAAGGGGGAAACCAAGGAAGACACAGGGGGCAGTGCGGGCAGTAAGCTTGTCCGTGCCAGAGGCACGAACGTGAGCAAGGCAGCCCCAAACGTGGAACGCAGACGCGTCACCAGGAGACCCAGTCCAAAGAAGGGTCGGCGAAACCTGTGGCAGCTGAGGGTGCGGCCACAGGTTAAGCTGGTGAGCAGCGTAGCGAACCGCGAACGGCCACAGAAAATGGGGTGCACCGGCGTGGATCATGGAGGTACGAGCCACCTCTATGACCAAACCGATGCGTCGCTCAGCGACCCCATTCTGCTGCGGCGAGTCCGGAAGGGTGAACGTCTGGGTGATGCCCTCCGCACGACAGAAGCGACCAAGGATACCAGAGGCAAACTCGCCACCACGGTCGGAGTGGAGACGCAAGACAGGGAGACCGCGGTGGACACGCGCAGAGACAAGCCACGGGATAAGAACGTCAGGCACGTCAGCCTTCCGCTCCAAGGGAAAAACCGTGGTGTAGCACGTGAAGTCGTCGACAAGAACGAGGAAGTAGCGCTTGTGACGCGGTCCATGGACGGGGGCGGGGGCCCAGACGTCCATGTGCAAGGTCTGTAGTTGTGCAGTGGTGGGGGGGAAGGAGGAGGAGTGATGGGCATGGCGGAGCCGACCCTCGACGCAGGGCGTGCACGGTGGCACTGTGGAGGGGGGCATTGCGGGGAACGACCCTGGGAGACCTAGGACAAGACCGTGCTGTAACATGTGACGGATACGCGGGAGCGCAGGGTGACCTAGACGGTGGTGCCAATGGAGGGTCGGGTGAGTAAGCGACCGATACGAGCAGGCCGCTGCAACCTGAGACGACACAGCTACCTGGGGAGGCGTCCGAACCGGGGGGGGCGCGGTGTCCAGTGTGAACCGGCCAGACACCGGGTCCCGGGGAAACGTAGCGAGGGAAACACCAGTGGCGCCTCAGTACAGACAGCAAGCCGCTCGTGACCAGGGAACGTAGTGGTGACGCCAAGGTCCTGGAGGCAGCCAGCACCAACTAGGTTCTTGGAAAACGAGGGGACGTTCAAGCCTGTGAGCGAGCCGGAAGGAGCCGCCGGACAGGGAAGGGTGGTAGAACTACGAGCGACTACCGGACCGGAGGAGGGGTCAGCAAGGGAAACCGCAGCAGGAGCATCAAGCGGGGACAGCGTAGTAGAGTCGCGGAAGAAACACCGAGAAGCGCCAGAGTCCAAGGTGAAGGTGAGCGCAGCAGTGTCAGCCGAGGTCGAAGCAGTGACGGAGGAACCTAGGCTAAACAAGGCAGGAGGTCCTACGCCTGACGCAGCAGAGGGGGGCACGACTAGGCACACCTACACTAGGCAACACGGGGTAGTAAGAACCAGTCACACTAGAGTCATCAGCATACAGCACATACAGGGCAGAGCTAAGCTTATCCACGTCCATATAAAAAATCGGAATACTACGACGAAGCAAGCTGAACCAGTCAGGGAGGTCGGGTGACGGGCCGAAGCGAAGACGAAACAGGTCGTCAAGGCGACGGAAGCAGCGAGCAGGGGAGTGACCGGTCTACCGCAAACGGAGCCGCGGCGAGAGCCGGTATGGAGCTGGTACTGGCAGCGCCCGTCACCCGAACTACCACCCGGGAGCACACCACGCGCACGTCCACCACCACGTCCACCGCCGCCACCAGCGCCAGGCCACCCGGGCGGGAGACCACTCGCCCGCCTCTGCCGCTGCGGGTGTTGCGACTGCTGCGGGTGCTGTGACTGCTGCTGCTGGAGCTGGGGCTACGGTTGCGGGTGGTGCTGGTCCGGCTGCGACGGCTGCGGCTGCTGGGACGGCTGCTCGGCGACACCAGGGACATTCCTCTCGTCTGCGCCACCACCAGGCGCCAGGTCGTGTCTATCGCGCACAGGTGGGCGGCAAGGTCAGCGCCAGTAGGGAAAGACGCAAGGTCAGGGAAAAGCATCGGCAAGATCAGGCGACCTACAGAGGCAGCAGGCGGGGTGGAATAGCGCTGGACAACAGCATCTAGGAATGCCTGCGCAGTCGTGACGGACTTAAAGTGAGGGCGCTCAGAGAGTGGGAGGGCATGGCTGATAGCAAGCTGCGCAACAGCGTCACGCGACAGCCAGACAGGGCGAGCAAGGGCAGCAGTGGCAGCGGACTCACGCTGAGCAGACGAGGGGTCAGCAGGCAGCGCGGCAGGGGGGTCAGGGCAGGGGAGCGTACCGTCAAGGTGGACAGACAGCGAGTGGCCATCCTGCCGCTGACCAGTAAGATGGCGGCGGAGGTCGACCAGCCACGCGTCAAACTCAAGCAGCTGGCCCTCAGCGTCAAAGCGAAGTACCTCCGCCATCAGGAACGATGCAGAGCGGTGCATGCGGTGCAGTGCGGTACTGAGCGGTGCAGTGCGGTGCAGGGCGGTGCAGTGCGGTGCAGTGCGGTACAGGGCAGCGCAGGGCGGTGCAGTGCTGTGCAGCGCAGTGCAGTGCGGTGCCGGGCAGTGGAGTACGGTGCCAAGTGGTGGAGAGCGGCTCCGGGCGGTGCAGAGCAGTGCAGATTGGAGAAGGACGAACCGTGCACGAGGCAGAGACGGGCCGGCGGCGTAGCGAACCCGGGGCCGGCTAGAAGATGGGGGGGCGGGGCAGACGAGGGACGGGCGCGAGGGGCCGTCGAGGAGCGGGCGCGACAGGGGCGCGAGGGGCCGGCTAGGAGCCGGTGCGAACGGCCAGGGCGCCGGCTAGGAGGGGCGCGACGGCCAGGGGGCCAGCTAGGGGCGGGTGCAAACGGCCAGGGGGCCAGCTAGGGGCGGGCGCGAATGGCCAAGGGGGGCCGGTTAGGAGCGGGTGCAACGGCCAGGGGGCCAGCTAGGGGCAGGCGCGGACGGCCAGGGGGCCAGCTAGGGGCGGGCGTGAGGGCCAGGGGGCCGACTAGGGGCGGACGCGATGGCCAGGGGGCAGCTAGGGGCGGGCGCGACAGCCAGGGGGCCAGCTAGGGGCGGGCGCGACGGCCAGGGGGGGCTGGCTAGGGGCGGACGCGACGGCCAGGGGGCCGGCTAGGGGAGAGCGCGACGGCCAGGGGGCCGGCTAGGGGCGAGCCAGCTAGGGGCCGGGCACGAGGGGGGCTAGGGCCTAGGGCGGAAGCGCGGGCGGGCGAGAGGAAACTAACCTACTCATGATACCATGTTAGAAAGAGAGAAAAAAATAGAACAGGGAGATACAGGGCAATATAGACTAGTGTGTTGTACCCTCTAAGGCACAAACCTGTATAGTCTACAGTAACAACATAAGTTATGTTCGACAATAAATTGAAACCTGCAAGCCAACGTCGCAAGCAGGCCCCTAGATTGGTTTTTAGGAGCCCTGATCGCTCAGGATCCCCCCTGAGTTTTTCTCTGATTTTTCAGGGTTGGTCCCAAAAAAATTCCTCGTGAATCAGGACTCCTAAATATTTTTTTCCTGAGCAGACAGAGTTACTTATGGAGTTTTTCCTGATTTCTTAGAGGTTCTTAGCGCATGCTTTAGTAGCGAATTTATGCTTGCAGGGTGAATCGGGTCAGGTGGGCGACATTGCAGGGGCTGAGGGAAATTTCGCCCATACAAAGCTCTAAGGAACACATCGGGCCCAAAATTTGGCTAAGGACCAAGTGCCCTCCCTCACACTGCCCCCACGCGTCGAGCCACGAATTTGGTGAAGGGCCAATAAGCGCCCTCACAGAGCCTGGAGGGCGGGCCAGAACCTTGGAAATCTCTGCTGGCCCCCAGGTCACGCTTGGACGGAAACAAGTACAGTTTCGTTGCAAAGCTGAAATTTCAGGATTCGTTAAGAAAACTTTGCTTAGCAATCAGAGTTGACCCCCCAAAAAATGCTGAAAAAACAGGAAATGCCTTTCGAAAAATCCTGGACAATCAGGACTGGTACCAGCAACAACTCTGTTTTTTTCCTGAATCAGGAAAATTTTCCTGCAATCTAGGGGCCTGGTCGCAAGCGTAGTTTACTGTTACCTTTGGGTGGAAGTAACCTTGTTGCTTCTACCTGCGTCAACCCAGGTTGTCAGAGAAGTTAACTGACTGCATGAGGGTGTGCGAAATTACTTACTGCTTAAAACTTGAAAGTGGAACCCACCTTTGAGGACCGCGAGGCACTAATAAACACGGAAGTTTCAGCATCTGAATGACCAGAATACTCATAATGTTGAAACGTAAGGCTGACCGCACTGTTCCCAACTACCATGCTGTGGCGCACGTCCAGCGCGCACCAGCATGCCGGTCCAGTTGGGCGGCCGCTCGGCGCGCAGCGGCGTCGGAGGCGTAGTGCACGAAGCAGTAGCCCTTGTTGCGCCCCGTGGCGGCGTCCCGCGGCAGGCGCACGTGCGCGTAGTCTTTGGCACGATTATCGCCTTCGGCGTGCGTGGCTGGAGGAATGAGGTTCACATCCTCTGGTGCCGTAGCCATCATGGCTCCACGATGGTAACGAAGGGCCTGCTCACAGCACGAAACATAGGTGAGCTTAAAAAAGAGACTCCGAAGGTTTGCTAGCAGCGCTTGTGACGATTGTCCCCTCACTAAGACACCCCACCAGTGCTGCAGGAAGAGAAGATACTTAGCGAGATGGGGTCCTCGGAGCACACCCCGCCCAGCTGCAGGTAGTCAAAGCACACCTGGGTGGTGGGCAGGGCCGGTGGGGTGGAAATTGAAAGAACTGACAGTAAAAACGGAGGCGAGTGACTGGAAGGACGTGAAGAAGAGTGCGCACAACCGAGTGGCTGCGATTTGTAGCAGCAGAGGCAGAAGTACAACAACTTACCCAGAAACAGCACAGAGCGGAAAAAAGAACAGCGAGAGGAAGACAGCAGAGGACGGGAGGACAGGAAAACAGCATAAGTGAGGTAGTCCGTCTCACTCATGATGTAGTTTCTCGTCGTCATCCTCCCTTACCCCTGGGCAGCGATGTCTTCCGCCTCACCACACCACCTCTCCCATGCTTGGGAAGCAGCACAATGAAGGGAGAGTGCAGGGGATAGGAAGTGCAGCGGGCGCGACCAATGTACAGGACGCATGCTCTCTCAATAGTCTCAACACTAGACAAGGAGAACGAACAGGGACGTCTGGAAATCAGAGACATTGTTAATGAGCGGGGCAATTCAACAAGTGATGGTTCTAACGCACACACATCTGACATGCGAGATGGCATAGCAAGGAACATCACCGCATGCCCTTCCAGGCTGTTCCACTAGACGTACTCACCTCTGTACACAGGGCCATACCTTATCTTCATTCACCCCCCTCACGCACCCTCATCAGCTGACTTGTTTCACTTCAGCGGCTCTGCTGTCAAGAGTGCTTACAATGTTGTTGTCCGCATGAGGAAACGACAGAAGGAAGGGATGAGTGGGAGTAGGGATTGGTCATGCTCAAATGCGACGTGCCTGGGGTGGGGTGGAGAGGGTACGGTGAGATGAGGCTGCCTCTGAGAAGCTTCAGACACTCCTAGTCCCGAATCATGAGCAGCTTGGAGACGTGTATCCGTCAAGTGTCCAACGAGCAGGACATCTGAGACGAATGCGAGTTGGCGGAGGGAAAATTGACGAAGGTGATAATGACGAGGGGACAATGAGGAGAAGGTTGACGAAGGGACAGCGTCGAGGGGATACTGGCTTAAGTTCGCCTCTCCGTCCCCTCCACCCCGTCAAGATAACATCCTCTCAACCACACCAGAAACCCCTGCACCTGCATGGCCCGCTCCCCATGCCATGCCGCCGTGCCACGCGCACCCAGGGGGGGGGGGAGAGCGGAGGGAGGGAAGGAACAAAGTGACGGGTACGGAGGGGATGAGAGAGAGGTGGTTACGATGTCAGGGGGAGGTACGCGTTGCACGCGGACGAGCCACAGAGACGCACCATCGCACGTCGAGCCAGGACGCACGCCAAAGCATTAAGAATCCTGAGTTCGCCTCCCTGATACGACAGGCAACCCACGTACCAGTATGCGGTCCGGTTCGGCGGCGGCTCGGAGCGCAGCGGCGTCAGTGGCGTACTGCACGAAGCAGTAACCATTGTTGCAACAGAAGGAACTGACGGCAGCGCGCGGTCCTCGCCACGATTATCGCCTTCGGAGACGGGCGCGGCAGGGACGCTGTTCGCAGACTCGGGTGACGTCACCATGATGCGTCGCGATGGCGACGACGGGCCTGCTTCGCACACGAGACACCGCTGACCTTATGAAAAAATGCACTCCCGAAATTGGTTCGAGCCGCTCGTTATAATCGTCCTGTCACAGGAACCCCTCACGAATGCTAGGAATAGTGGTTGTAGCTGGGGATTGTGGCACGAGCCTCGGCTACAAACAAGCCCGGCTTGCCTAGACTGAAGTTGTTCGCGCTATACGCTCCAGTAGCACATGCGTGATCCGATGTCAGCATAACGGAATGGGCAGTTTTACAATTGATGTACACGGCATACGCCTGATGTACCGTATCTTTTTCTGTACACCTGTAAATCACAAGCACTACAGAGTCACGATCATTGCAACTGGCAAAGATTGCTGAGAAATATGGCTTTGGGCGCACATGCAACTCAAACGCCCTCTTGAGCCATTGGCCTCAGAAGGTTCCGTAATTCTGTTTTCTGCAACACCTGGCACATCCGGTGGATGACATTGGCTCCCATTTTGCGGTGAATCCTGTGAGGGAACTTACGTGGAGTTGTGATTGGCGAAGCCATTCCTTTCCTCCGCTCCCCCACACGAGTTGGTCGCACAGAATTTATCCAGTTTGGCGCCAACTTTTGACGAATTACAGGGAACCACGTTTCAAAAGCCGAGGGAACTGGTCCTCGCATTCCCCCACAGCCGTTGATTGCGAAAGGGGATAATCCGCAGGGTTGCGCTGGCGCGCAAATCTGGGTATTCCTCGCCACACGAGCCTGCCTCAGGATTCCACTCGGGGCAATGGAACAGGTGTGCCCCTGCCCTCCCAGGTGTTGGAAAAAAACATTTAGATATCGTCTCCCATCTGGTTGTTCCTTCCCTCTCAGGCAGTCACTCAGCCTTCAGGTCACTCTTTTCTTCGCCCATGTCCTTAGGTCAAGCGCTACGGTACTAGCTGTCCGCGGACACCCGCGTTCGCAGACAAGTAGCGTTTATCCGAGGGCGTGAGGCGTCTCGCGCGCAATGGCGGATATGGCGTCGCTGGCGGCGTCATTCTGGAGCGTGGTTGACGGGATCGGCACGGTGACGCTAGCATGGACGATAGCTCTGCTGATAGCCGCCACGTACATCTCGATGCAGTATTCCCGCGAAAAGCAACGAGATGCGCTAGCCAGTGCCACGCCGCTAGAAGAAATGCCGCTGGAGCGACTAACTGACGCCGCACGGCACGACGCGTGCTTAGATCAGAGCGGTGGGGAGGCGACAAGCGACGACGCGTGCACGGCGCACGGCGGCAGGGAGGAGTACGACGCGCTGGTAGTCGGCGCAGGCATTGCGGGATGTGCGCTCGCTTACTCCCTCGGAAAGGTTAGGCTCGTTCATTTTCTTTTACCCATATTCAAATCTCGTTCACGGTCTTGCTTTATGCATTCAAGTAGCGTTCATTTCTTCATTTCTTACACTTTTCATGTCCTGATCTACCCTGTATGTGGTTATGTGCGGTGGTGTGCGGCAGGCGGGGCGGCGAGTGCTTGTGTTGGAGAGGGACCTATCGGAGCCAGATCGCATCGTGGGCGAGCTGCTGCAGCCGGGCGGCTACCTCAAGCTCGTCGAGCTGGGCCTGCAAGGTACGCTGGAGGGCGAGGTAGAATGGGCTGCAAGGTATGCTGGAGGGCCAGGTAGAAAGGGTTGCTAGGTATGCTGGAGGGCCAGGTAGAATGGGCTGCAAGGTACGCTGGAGGCCCAGGTAGAATGGGCTGCAAGTTAGGTAAGAGGGCAAGGTACAGAGTAAGTGGGACTGCACGATGCGTCGGCCACGAGTGTAAGTCGAAGGTATCCACATTGCCCGGCGGTGTGTCAGCAGTGCTCTGCGCTGTATTTTGCTCCTACCTTCGCCCGCGTCGCTGCTTCCCCCCGTCCCCACGTCACCGTGGCTTCTCCCGTCATCATCCTGTTGTCCCCTGTGCCCGCGCCCTCTGCGCACAGACTGCGTGGAGGGCATCGACGCGCAGCGCGTCGACGGGTACGCGCTGTTCATGGACGGCAGCGACTGCAAGGTGTCGTACCCCACGCTCTCCACGGCTCAGCTCCACATGCTCTTCGCCGGCCACCGCCTCGACTCGGGGGAAGGCGCGAGGGCGGGGGGCAGCGCGGCGGGCGCGGAGATGTGGAAGGTGGCGGGGCGGGGCTTCCACAACGGGCGGTTCGTGCAGCGGCTGCGCGAGAAGGCGGCGTCGCTGCCCACGTGAGTCGGAGGGATGGGATGACGCTGGGGTCATAGGTGGGGATAAGGATGCGAGGAAATCGGCAATTGTGGTGACGGGGGGAGGCGGCAGGCGGTGCAGTGCTGCGGGAGGCAGTGCGACATGAGGAATGTGCGAGGGTTTCGAATCGTTGTTGGTCCTCATGCGAGGGCTTGAGATGCGGACTAGGCACTGGGGTAGATTGATGGGTGGGTTGGGAAGTGGTGGATCGATGGGATCTGCCTGTCACTGCCGTTATCCTGCCACCCAGATCTGCGCGCCTTACATTCCCCCGTCTATGCCCCGCTGCGCACCCTGTGCGTACTTCTCCGCCCCTCTGTGCCCCCCCCCCCGCCCCTGCGTGCGATGCTGTGCAGAGTGACTCTGAGGGAGGCGACGGTGCTCGGGCTGCTGGAGGACGGCGACCGCGTCACGGGCGTCCGCTACCGCGCCGCTAAGCGCGCGCCGGGCAGCGCGCCGAGCGACGTGTGCGAGGCAGCAGTGGTGGGCGGAGCGAGCGAGACGGAGACGGAGGAGGGGGAGTTGCACGCGCCGCTCACCTTCGTGTGCGACGGGTGCTTCTCCAACCTCCGCCGCAGCATCTCCAAGTCCAAGGTGGGTCACGGCGCTCAGATCCAGGGTAGCATATTCCAAATGCAAGGGACTGCCGTCCCTCCTACTCCACGGCACCCATGCCTGTCTGAGTCCACGTTACCAGGCCAGTCCGCCCCGGCCATTCCCGTCGCATCTGAGTCCCGCATCTCTCCCCCCCCGCACTTCCCAGGTGGACGTGCCGTCGTCGTTCGTGGGGCTGCTGCTGCGCGACTGCGCCCTGCCGCACCCGCACTACGGGCACGTGGTGCTGGCGGACCCGTCGCCCATCCTCTTCTACCCCGTCAGCAGCTCGGAAGTGCGCTGCCTCGTCGACATCCCCGCCGGCACCAAGGTGCCCTCCATCGCCTCGGGGGACATGGCCGCCTACCTCACCCACACCGTCCTCCCGCAGGTAATCCACGCCCGCCTGTCCCAAATCTCCCTGTGCTCTGCATAGTTTTCCGAAACCTGCTCCTTGAGCATCAATCCCCTCCCTTGTCTCATCTCTCCTTACACGCCTCTCCTCTGCACTTGTGTCGAGCTCGAATTGGCTTCACCCATCTCTCCTTCCCCTCTCCCCTTTCGCCCCACCTCAGCTCCCCAAGCAGCTGCAGGGGCCGTTCAGAGAGGCGGTGAGGGCGGGCGACATCCGCTGCATGCCCAATCGCATCATGCCAGCTGTCCCCGTCACGCGCCCTGGCGCTCTGCTCATGGGCGACGCGTTTAACATGCGCCACCCGCTCACAGGTGCGCCTGGTCTTGCTGCTGTGCTGCACCGCTGCACCACATGCTGCAATCGCTTCACACTGCAGCAGCACATGCATGCCTCTGTCGCTCCACACCCTTGTTAGAGCCTTCTGCTTCTGGAGCTCATGCTGTCCTCCTCCATGTATCCTGTGTGATCTGCTGCCGGGGTGACGGTTGGCCCGCGACAACAGGTGGCGGCATGACAGTGGCTCTGTCTGACGTGTCAGTGCTGACTCAGATTCTTCGCCCGCTCAAGGACTTCCGCAACACTCGAGCGGTCTGTGAATATGCCGAGGCCTTTTACACCCGCCGCAAGGTGTGTCTGCGCGTCTGCTGGTGTGGCCGCTCACCATTCTTCCTGCAAAGCAAGCATATCCGCGACAGACATGGGTTGATTTGGCTGATGTGCTGTCATCAGCATGCAATGATGCAATGGAACGCATGGTGACAGGGGCAATGCCCACTGTCCATTTCAGTCGTGTATGTAGCTGCCGGTTGCTAGTTTGCTTGTTCCTAACTTACGTCCCCTGTGCCGTACATCCCCTTTGCCATGCGTCCCCTTTGCCGTGCCTCCCCTGCGCCGTGCCTCCCCTGCGCCGTGCAGCCCATAGCGGCCACGATCAACACGCTCTCCATCGCCCTCTACCGCGTCTTCTGTGCCTCCAAGGACGAAGCCATGATGGCCATGCGCCAGGTGCGTTTGCCTCCCCTCCTCCCATGCCACCCACTGCTGCTACGTCATATTCCCCCCTCATGTGCCCACCTCTGCTGGTGCGTTTGTCACTCCTCCCTCATGTGCACTCCCATGCATGCCGCTGCTGCCACGAAGCCCATGCCTCATCACGCCCTGACAGGTCTCAATGTCCAAACCACTCCGCAATCTCGAGCTTCTGTCTCCCCATCCCTGACCTCCGCCCTCCACCCCCAGGCGTGCTTTGACTACCTGCAGCTGGGCGGGGTGTGCCCCACTCCGCAACCTTTGAACTTCTGTTTCCTCGTCCCTGACCTCCCTCCCTCCACCCCCAACCCCCAGGCATGCTTTGACTACCTGCAGCTGGGTGGGGTGTGCTCCGAGGGCCCCATCTCGCTGCTGTCGGGCCTCAACCCGCAGCCGCTGTCCCTCGTGCTGCACTTCTTCGCCGTCGCCTTCTTCGCCCTCGCCCGCCTCCTCCTGCCCCTCCCCAAGCCAGGCCGTGTCTGGCTCGGTGCGCGCTTGATACAGGTACTGGGGCTCAGGCAGTTGCTGTGGGTGGTTGACGTACTGTGGCCTGATACATGCTCTGTAGTCAGGCAGGTACAGCGGTCCTGCAGGTGCTGCCCCCTCATTCAGCACATGCATCTGTGCCAAGTAGGGGCAGTGTTTGTTATGAGTCTGGAAGGGTAAGCCACATGGCTGCATTGTGTCTGAATGCAAGCGTCGATCGGCGTTGTTGTTGTCATGTGCCTCTGTCTGCAGGGAGCTGTTCAACTAATCGTGCCAATCATCAAGGCCGAGGGTGTACGGCGAGTCTTCTTCCCTGCAGTCTGTCCGTCCTACTACAAATCTGCGTCCATTAATGCACCGAGCGTGCACGGCACCTCCGAGTCATAATGCTGGGGC